GAACACGAACATTTTGTTTTATTTTGTTGTAGAGCTACTATTCTTGTTATGTTAAGCCGGACTTTTCCTTTTGAACGTTTATTAAGATTATTAAAACACCATAGCGTACTAGTATGTCACAGTAGTGCTATTTAATAAGGGAAAAATCAAATTGTTGGTTTGAACGCAAATAAACGCCGGGGCCTTGAACAAATGCTGGGACCTCAATTAAACGCCCCCAGCATTTATTTCAAAATTGGCCTTGTGGACCTGGCGTTTATACGCGGCTGGCGTTTAATCGGGGTCCAGTGTTTCATTGAGAAAATACAGTATTACAAAAATGTCATAACTTACAGAAGATTTTGCTAAACCACTGAGTCTCTTAGTCTTTAGTCGTTGCTGAAAAAAAAATTAGCAGTTCTGAATTAGACTTGAAGTGAAGTGCCTCATCACATTTCCAACCATAATTTGAACAGAGAGTTGAAAACACAATTCACTGTGGGGTATTCTTGACCAAGCGTAATGTATTTGGAATTTCAATGGAACACTTTGTCAAGTTTCTAATATCTTGTATTTTACCTTTATAGAAATTTATTAGGTCAGGTATACAAACCAAGGGCATGATTTGATATAAATGTATGGATTTAGAAATTAATAGAAATTTTCAAAATACACATTAGATTATGAGCTTGAGATTTCTAAAGTGTGATAGTTGTCTAGGATGCAGGCTGAGTAAACTATCACAAATAGAAATCGAGAGCGAATAATCTAATTGTCTTAGTATTAAAATCTACTAGTCATTCAAAACTTTATCTAAATCCTCTTCACAGACACTTCGAAAATGCAAGAAGCGGCTGTCATTTTGTTAACAAGGGCACACTGCTATGCTATTCACTATCTATCACAGAATAGATAGTGAGTAGCATAGCCAATCAGAGAACTGCATTCGTGATAGAACGCTAGTAGATTTATACTAAAAAAGAATGAAATTTAAATCTAAGCCATGCAATGCTGTATCTATCAACCCATCAACAGGACAGTCATCATAATTTTGTGTATATTGTGTATATAAACAGTCTTCACACAGGGTGATGCTTACCTCAACTGCTGTCGGTACTCCAGCTTTTCCCTTTTTCTTTTTCTTGAGATGGACATGAACAGGCGTTTCTCTATCCACGTGTACATGAACAGGAGACTTGCGGCCTTCTGATGTCATCATCAGTGTACCGGTCTAGAAATGCCCTGAGGTGAAATAAATAATAAGCAGGACTGTTACACAGATTGATCTCCTAGTTGTACTCCTCTTAACACTATACCACAGCTTTATGAAAAGCCACCTCTCTTTGCAAGCTATTTTCTTCCCAGCTTCAGAGATATCTGAGATACAGAACATGTACAGCCTGACCAATCTGGTCATGATGACAAAGCTTATGTAGTATCTGTGAATGGTTGTTGCATAGATTGAATTTTTCTGCACAAGATCACATGGATCTTGGTAGAGCTATGTCATCCAACGGAGTTTTATGGACTCCATCTCAGGTGTCCTCAGATGAAAAGAACAGAGGACATGAAGAGATATGCACTTATAAAGTAAGTGGCATTCCTGATAGGATGTAGTAATACCATATCTTATTTTCCCTCTCTTCCTTAGTAAGCACTCAATATCTTTCTAGGGCTTTCGCCATTTTTGTTTAACGCTACATGTACATTTATCAAACATTCCATGCCTTCCACACCTTCTGCCCTGCTGCATCCCACCTTTTCACCTCCTGTTTCCCTCGACCCCTAAGTTACCCCGGGTTGTTGAGATTCACCCAATTTTCCTTTCTACGGTCTAATCTCCTGAATACAAATCGATGTAAGTTAAGCTTTTTAGAACAGATTTAAAACATAAAAACACAAGCCCACACTAGCAGCGGTAGAAATTACAAACAAACAAATTACATTTAGAACCCTAAACAAAACATGTACAACAACAGTCAACGAAGCAGTATTTGAGTAGCTAATGTTATTAAAAGATTACTCCTTTAGAAGAGAAGTGTCGAAGGAGTGACGAGACATTTATGAAATAAGATAGAACTTAAATAAAATAATTGAAATATAAGCTTAAGTTAGTACACCATACACATTTATACTGCAACGTTTCTTTTAAAAATTAGCGCAGCAAAGAGCAAAGAAATCTCGAATCGAACAACTGCAGTGGATTGCACGGTCGTGGAATCCCCTCACACAACAAGCACAAAAAGAAGGTAAGCCCTCTAGAGTGTACAAATTACAAAAGATATTCTCTTGCAATTACATTGAAATTATTATCATAACACGCCTTTCTAATGGTATATTTTCTCTCCTTTTATGGTTACCATAAGCTTTCAAAGTGAAGAAACAGAAACAAAATCTTTCGTTGAAATGAACATTGTAAACTACTCTGAAACACTTTGACAGTGTCGTGTCGTGACACTCGAATTTGGCGCCGAAACAACGCCTTCACCTTTGCGGTTTTCAACACAAAATGGAAGTATCGAAATTATACAGACCTTTCATCAACAAATTCAATTCAATCATTCTCTGTAGCCATCCTTAATGCTGAAAATTTCGCCGCAGTTGTGGATTAAGATCAAAACAACAGCACAAAACTCTTCACAAACCCCAAGCCGTTGCTTTGCAGCCAGACGCTGAACATGCAAGCTGATTGGCCCAGAAGTCTTTGAAATCTACTAGCCTCGCTTTCGTTATTCATACTTACAGTGGAAAGAGGGGTCTTCAAATATTTGTACTTTACATTTTTTCCTTTATCAAAGTTAAGAGTAACTCTGTCAGTAATATTTGTCTTGAGATATCAATGAATGGGAAAAATTATTGCCCGGCTTACGTGACATCACAAAGCAAACTACGGATAAATTGGCGTCGCTCACGCGATAGATATATTCTAAGAAATCTTTGGAGATTTGTAATATTGCTCGAAAGTTAAAAGTTTTCGTTGTTAGCTTTGAATTCTCTATACTGACAAAACTGCGGGGATTACAAGATTTCTTTAGGAAAAATTTACCACCTCTACGGCAGGAGTCTGGAGTCTAGAGGTGGTGTTCGTGATGCGCAGAGGTGGAGGAATTTGGGATTCATTGCGCACCCGTTTCAATATGGATTACTTTCGTTCAGCAAACATCAGCAACATGGCAGACTCAATGAAAAAATTTGGTGCCCAAACGGCAACTTTCTTCTCAAGGGCAAAGCAGGTTCGATTCTTCACACCCTAGGGTCTATTACCGTGTTATCAGTTTTTTAATTAAGTCTTTTTCCCGTTAGTACACAGAGGAGCAACTTGGTACATCCGAGAAGACAGTTTTCGACGCACGATTTGAATCTCTGGTTGAGAAGGCAGATCGCACGAAATACTGGACAGAACGTTTGCTAAGGCAAACTGAAGCACTGCTTCAGCCTAATCCAGGTTGGTCTCTTACTATTTGCCGTAAATGCATCTTCTATCCATAGTAAGTTTAGGCTCAGAAACTTGGGGGACCTATGTAACCTTTTCCCAAGATTTTTCCAAGAAAATCTCCCTTAGCTTTAATTTCCAGGCTAGCTTCGCTTCGTGGCGAAGATCTGTTGAATATAATTAACGCCATAAAATCTTTATGTGGGAAATGCCATTAGATGTGTCTTGTGGATGTCGAACAACTTTTCGTCTACACATTGTGTTTGTTACATGTTTTTAAACCCATTTAAGATAAGCTTTGATGGAAAAAGTTCTAAGTTGGAAAATTTGGGGACATCAAGGTTATGCTAATATGTTTATTTTAAAATGGATTTAATACAAACATAAAAAATAGGCGTTGTTTTTGGAGTTCCCTTGAAAAATACAAGGCTTTGATATTGCGTTGAGGGTCTGTAATTCTGTCTGCGAAACTGTCATGGAAAGTGAAACCGGAACTTGTCGATAAAGATCTGGAAATCACGGAAGAGGATTTCTTGCAAATTGCACTCTTTTTAGGTTTTATCTTGTTGTGGTTAAAAGGCTGTTAGCCAAACTTAGGCCTACTATCACCCAATTACTTCTAATTTGTTTGCTTTTTGTGGCAAATGACGGAATTCAGTACTCTATAGCAATGAACATGTATTTCTGCGTGCAACAAGAATTATGTTGGTTCAGCATGTAATGTGTTTTCTTCAGTCATGTTCCATATTCATTTAAATAAGTCATCTCTCTGTGCTGGTGTTTAAATGTCTAGATTCAAACTCATGTAGCAGTTTCACTGTGCATTCAGAAATATGAGAATTATTCCAAACAAATGTTCAAATGTTGCTTTAAAAAATAGTTTTTATGTGACAAATCAATTTTGGTTAGCTTTTCTCCATCCCTACATTAATGTATCCTTAGAGACAAGAAGCTCCTGAAAAAATGATGGAGGACATCTCATGTCTAAAGTTAGGCATGTCTGTGTTGTTTGTTCTAGAAAGATCTTTTGGGAATACACTGATATTAACAATGGTTTACAGTCAAACTAAGTGAAGTGTACCCCTCAAGAGGGGGGAAAGAGGGGAATGGACATTTTCTGGCACTGGAATAGCATGCCAGCCTGTTTTCTAAGAAATGATTTACATGCACTTACAAATTCACTTTGTCATACTGACATACATGTAACATATTGTTTGTATTTTGCAGGAATGAGAGCTGAAGAATTTGTTTATCAAAAATTAGACAAACCGAAACCTCCCCGTCTGACCGAGAGTGAATCACTGGGCCAGTCTATGATTGAAGCTGGAAATGATTTTGGCCCAGGAACAAATTATGGTGAGTTACATGGGCAGTCAGTGTAAAATGCAGACTGAGGACTGCAGACTGCAGACCGGGGGTAAAATGAAGACTGAGGGCAAAATGCAGACTGAAGACCAGGGGTAAAATGTAGACTACAGACTTCTTAAGTATATAATTATTTAGCCTGAATATCACTCCAGATAGACTGAATACCACTCCGGTTAGCCTGAATATCACTCAGGATAGCCTAAATAACGCTCTGGTCAGACTGTTTACAGTTAGCTCTCTATGATGGAAATGGTAATACAATTCAGTTAAAAATTCTGCAGTCTGCATTTTACCCCTGTTCCACAGTCTGCAGTCTGAAGTTGGCAGTTTGCGTTTTATGCTGACCAGTTACATTAAAAAACTTATGGGGTCTGTTATCCTAAATCATAATCATATATCGCCAGTGGGTATTTTGGTAGTCAATGAGCAGTTTGAATTAGCTTTTTTTTTTTATTAGAGTCAGTAGTTAGACTAGTTTTGTTGTTTCTGTCTTTCTCATTCGTCCTAAAGGAGTTAACAACACTTATAACATGTATTACATGTAGCCCAGTCTCTCCCTGGTTTTCACTGAGTATGACAAACACTGATGATAGAGATATGCTCACAATAAATTCCTTTCAACTGGAAGCTTGGCTTATAGTGTGTATCACTGTGCTTCATTTGCCACCATAAATCATCACAATTGTTATGCAAGTAAAGTCATTGAATGACAATCTGCCATTTCCTGTTGTAGTACTGTTGAGGTAGCTTGACAATTTCAAATTACAAGCTGTAACGCCTCGTGGTGGTCAGTGTTGGAAATATATGTAGGCTGGTCTTAATCAAATCCTCAATTGTCAACTTAGAAGTGTTCTTGAGACATTAATGCGTTATTACTCCATTCACTACAGACGGCTTCTTGAAGGAGACTTATGCTACAGTACAGTGTACATGTAACTTCCTTGTTTGACCACATTATTTTGTAAAATGTCTTCAGCCTGAGCAAAATAATAAGTTTGGAAAAGCGTGTGTCCCTAACTGAGAATCATTATTTCCTGTCTGAATTACATTTTGCCTTTGCTAAATCTGAGTTATTTTTATGCTGACTTCGGTGAATGTGCTCATTGCATAATAGGTAGTGCACTGGTCAAAGTTGGAACAACAGAAAAAAAGCTTGGCCAGGCAGAGAGAGATTTAAAGGCCAAGTCTATGACGCACTTTCTCCATCAGCTTAAGACCTTTTTGGAAGGGGATATGAAAACAATATCAGTAAGTAGATGTGATGCAATTTGAATGGCTCTTGAATAAGAATCAAATTTTGTTGGATGTATCCAGTCCTCCTTGCCATTAACAGGAGTTCTTGTCCTGGTTGAAATGAAAGATTGTTCGACAAAGGAAACATCCCCTTCTTATTTCGAGAGTATCAGTTTCCACAAGTTCAATTACCCATTGAAGTAGCTTCACTCCTAGCTGTAAATAATAATAATTGCTTCATCCTGTGGAATGAGATTAGGACTTAAAAATACTATTGCATTCACTTTCAATGACTGTAGTTTCATTCACTAGCTTGTTTACCAGTTAAATTGTTCTACACTAAGGTTGTAAGTTTCTCTCTCTCTCTCTAGAAAGAACGCAGAACTCTCTTGGCTAAAAGATTAGACCTGGATGCATGTAAAACTAAAGTAAGAAAGGCTCAAAGTCCGGAGAAGATCCAACAGGTTAGTATATACAACAGTGATAGTAAGGAGACTGTGACTGGAATTTTGAGCACACCAATATGACCATTCTTTTTTCTGCAGTGTGTTATTTATTCAGTCTATGATGATTTTGACAGATTTTGCTATCCCTGACGAACCATTAAAAACTGATGAATCGTTGATATACATAATGTCTTGAGTTCTTGTCTGAACAGGTCACATTCAAATGCTTGACAAAAGGTCTCTTTCTTCCTGACGATAAAGCAGAAAAGGTGACATTTGTAACCATTCTTTTCGTCACATTTACATGTATTCATGCACATGATTCTTGTTCATGGTTTCTTTATGCACATGATTCTTGTTCATGGTTCCTTTACCTAATGGACTTGGCAAGGTTCTCCTGTAGTGATTTCTGAGTCTTCACCATTTTGTCCTGAATTAAAGTGTATATGACACTAAAAATAATTTCCCCTTTTTGAAAGGCCTTTCAAAATACAGAAGAATGGCGTTTTCCTTTTTGAAATATTGTTTTTCGTTTTAGAGATATTTAAATGTTAAGCCGGACTTTTCCTTTTGAACGTTTATTAAGATTATTAAAACACCATAGCGTACTAGTATGTCACAGTAGTGCTATTTAATAAGGGAAAAATCAAATTGTTGGTTTGAACGCAAATAAACGCCGGGGCCTTGAACAAATGCTGGGACCTCAATTAAACGCCCCCAGCATTTATTTCAAAATTGGCCTTGTGGACCTGGCGTTTATACGCGGCTGGCGTTTAATCGGGGTCCAGTGTTTCATTGAGAAAATACAGTATTACAAAAATGTCATAACTTACAGAAGATTTTGCTAAACCACTGAGTCTCTTAGTCTTTAGTCGTTGCTGAAAAAAAAATTAGCAGTTCTGAATTAGACTTGAAGTGAAGTGCCTCATCACATTTCCAACCATAATTTGAACAGAGAGTTGAAAACACAATTCACTGTGGGGTATTCTTGACCAAGCGTAATGTATTTGGAATTTCAATGGAACACTTTGTCAAGTTTCTAATATCTTGTATTTTACCTTTATAGAAATTTATTAGGTCAGGTATACAAACCAAGGGCATGATTTGATATAAATGTATGGATTTAGAAATTAATAGAAATTTTCAAAATACACATTAGATTATGAGCTTGAGATTTCTAAAGTGTGATAGTTGTCTAGGATGCAGGCTGAGTAAACTATCACAAATAGAAATCGAGAGCGAATAATCTAATTGTCTTAGTATTAAAATCTACTAGTCATTCAAAACTTTATCTAAATCCTCTTCACAGACACTTCGAAAATGCAAGAAGCGGCTGTCATTTTGTTAACAAGGGCACACTGCTATGCTATTCACTATCTATCACAGAATAGATAGTGAGTAGCATAGCCAATCAGAGAACTGCATTCGTGATAGAACGCTAGTAGATTTATACTAAAAAAGAATGAAATTTAAATCTAAGCCATGCAATGCTGTATCTATCAACCCATCAACAGGACAGTCATCATAATTTTGTGTATATTGTGTATATAAACAGTCTTCACACAGGGTGATGCTTACCTCAACTGCTGTCGGTACTCCAGCTTTTCCCTTTTTCTTTTTCTTGAGATGGACATGAACAGGCGTTTCTCTATCCACGTGTACATGAACAGGAGACTTGCGGCCTTCTGATGTCATCATCAGTGTACCGGTCTAGAAATGCCCTGAGGTGAAATAAATAATAAGCAGGACTGTTACACAGATTGATCTCCTAGTTGTACTCCTCTTAACACTATACCACAGCTTTATGAAAAGCCACCTCTCTTTGCAAGCTATTTTCTTCCCAGCTTCAGAGATATCTGAGATACAGAACATGTACAGCCTGACCAATCTGGTCATGATGACAAAGCTTATGTAGTATCTGTGAATGGTTGTTGCATAGATTGAATTTTTCTGCACAAGATCACATGGATCTTGGTAGAGCTATGTCATCCAACGGAGTTTTATGGACTCCATCTCAGGTGTCCTCAGATGAAAAGAACAGAGGACATGAAGAGATATGCACTTATAAAGTAAGTGGCATTCCTGATAGGATGTAGTAATACCATATCTTATTTTCCCTCTCTTCCTTAGTAAGCACTCAATATCTTTCTAGGGCTTTCGCCATTTTTGTTTAACGCTACATGTACATTTATCAAACATTCCATGCCTTCCACACCTTCTGCCCTGCTGCATCCCACCTTTTCACCTCCTGTTTCCCTCGACCCCTAAGTTACCCCGGGTTGTTGAGATTCACCCAATTTTCCTTTCTACGGTCTAATCTCCTGAATACAAATCGATGTAAGTTAAGCTTTTTAGAACAGATTTAAAACATAAAAACACAAGCCCACACTAGCAGCGGTAGAAATTACAAACAAACAAATTACATTTAGAACCCTAAACAAAACATGTACAACAACAGTCAACGAAGCAGTATTTGAGTAGCTAATGTTATTAAAAGATTACTCCTTTAGAAGAGAAGTGTCGAAGGAGTGACGAGACATTTATGAAATAAGATAGAACTTAAATAAAATAATTGAAATATAAGCTTAAGTTAGTACACCATACACATTTATACTGCAACGTTTCTTTTAAAAATTAGCGCAGCAAAGAGCAAAGAAATCTCGAATCGAACAACTGCAGTGGATTGCACGGTCGTGGAATCCCCTCACACAACAAGCACAAAAAGAAGGTAAGCCCTCTAGAGTGTACAAATTACAAAAGATATTCTCTTGCAATTACATTGAAATTATTATCATAACACGCCTTTCTAATGGTATATTTTCTCTCCTTTTATGGTTACCATAAGCTTTCAAAGTGAAGAAACAGAAACAAAATCTTTCGTTGAAATGAACATTGTAAACTACTCTGAAACACTTTGACAGTGTCGTGTCGTGACACTCGAATTTGGCGCCGAAACAACGCCTTCACCTTTGCGGTTTTCAACACAAAATGGAAGTATCGAAATTATACAGACCTTTCATCAACAAATTCAATTCAATCATTCTCTGTAGCCATCCTTAATGCTGAAAATTTCGCCGCAGTTGTGGATTAAGATCAAAACAACAGCACAAAACTCTTCACAAACCCCAAGCCGTTGCTTTGCAGCCAGACGCTGAACATGCAAGCTGATTGGCCCAGAAGTCTTTGAAATCTACTAGCCTCGCTTTCGTTATTCATACTTACAGTGGAAAGAGGGGTCTTCAAATATTTGTACTTTACATTTTTTCCTTTATCAAAGTTAAGAGTAACTCTGTCAGTAATATTTGTCTTGAGATATCAATGAATGGGAAAAATTATTGCCCGGCTTACGTGACATCACAAAGCAAACTACGGATAAATTGGCGTCGCTCACGCGATAGATATATTCTAAGAAATCTTTGGAGATTTGTAATATTGCTCGAAAGTTAAAAGTTTTCGTTGTTAGCTTTGAATTCTCTATACTGACAAAACTGCGGGGATTACAAGATTTCTTTAGGAAAAATTTACCACCTCTACGGCAGGAGTCTGGAGTCTAGAGGTGGTGTTCGTGATGCGCAGAGGTGGAGGAATTTGGGATTCATTGCGCACCCGTTTCAATATGGATTACTTTCGTTCAGCAAACATCAGCAACATGGCAGACTCAATGAAAAAATTTGGTGCCCAAACGGCAACTTTCTTCTCAAGGGCAAAGCAGGTTCGATTCTTCACACCCTAGGGTCTATTACCGTGTTATCAGTTTTTTAATTAAGTCTTTTTCCCGTTAGTACACAGAGGAGCAACTTGGTACATCCGAGAAGACAGTTTTCGACGCACGATTTGAATCTCTGGTTGAGAAGGCAGATCGCACGAAATACTGGACAGAACGTTTGCTAAGGCAAACTGAAGCACTGCTTCAGCCTAATCCAGGTTGGTCTCTTACTATTTGCCGTAAATGCATCTTCTATCCATAGTAAGTTTAGGCTCAGAAACTTGGGGGACCTATGTAACCTTTTCCCAAGATTTTTCCAAGAAAATCTCCCTTAGCTTTAATTTCCAGGCTAGCTTCGCTTCGTGGCGAAGATCTGTTGAATATAATTAACGCCATAAAATCTTTATGTGGGAAATGCCATTAGATGTGTCTTGTGGATGTCGAACAACTTTTCGTCTACACATTGTGTTTGTTACATGTTTTTAAACCCATTTAAGATAAGCTTTGATGGAAAAAGTTCTAAGTTGGAAAATTTGGGGACATCAAGGTTATGCTAATATGTTTATTTTAAAATGGATTTAATACAAACATAAAAAATAGGCGTTGTTTTTGGAGTTCCCTTGAAAAATACAAGGCTTTGATATTGCGTTGAGGGTCTGTAATTCTGTCTGCGAAACTGTCATGGAAAGTGAAACCGGAACTTGTCGATAAAGATCTGGAAATCACGGAAGAGGATTTCTTGCAAATTGCACTCTTTTTAGGTTTTATCTTGTTGTGGTTAAAAGGCTGTTAGCCAAACTTAGGCCTACTATAACCCAATTACTTCTAATTTGTTTGCTTTTTGTGGCAAATGACGGAATTCAGTACTCTATAGCAATGAACATGTATTTCTGCGTGCAACAAGAATTATGTTGGTTCAGCATGTAATGTGTTTTCTTCAGTCATGTTCCATATTCATTTAAATAAGTCATCTCTCTGTGCTGGTGTTTAAATGTCTAGATTCAAACTCATGTAGCAGTTTCACTGTGCATTCAGAAATATGAGAATTATTCCAAACAAATGTTCAAATGTTGCTTTAAAAAATAGTTTTTATGTGACAAATCAATTTTGGTTAGCTTTTCTCCATCCCTACATTAATGTATCCTTAGAGACAAGAAGCTCCTGAAAAAATGATGGAGGACATCTCATGTCTAAAGTTAGGCATGTCTGTGTTGTTTGTTCTAGAAAGATCTTTTGGGAATACACTGATATTAACAATGGTTTACAGTCAAACTAAGTGAAGTGTACCCCTCAAGAGGGGGGAAAGAGGGGAATGGACATTTTCTGGCACTGGAATAGCATGCCAGCCTGTTTTCTAAGAAATGATTTACATGCACTTACAAATTCACTTTGTCATACTGACATACATGTAACATATTGTTTGTATTTTGCAGGAATGAGAGCTGAAGAATTTGTTTATCAAAAATTAGACAAACCGAAACCTCCCCGTCTGACCGAGAGTGAATCACTGGGCCAGTCTATGATTGAAGCTGGAAATGATTTTGGCCCAGGAACAAATTATGGTGAGTTACATGGGCAGTCAGTGTAAAATGCAGACTGAGGACTGCAGACTGCAGACCGGGGGTAAAATGAAGACTGAGGGCAAAATGCAGACTGAAGACCAGGGGTAAAATGTAGACTACAGACTTCTTAAGTATATAATTATTTAGCCTGAATATCACTCCAGATAGACTGAATACCACTCCGGTTAGCCTGAATATCACTCAGGATAGCCTAAATAACGCTCTGGTCAGACTGTTTACAGTTAGCTCTCTATGATGGAAATGGTAATACAATTCAGTTAAAAATTCTGCAGTCTGCATTTTACCCCTGTTCCACAGTCTGCAGTCTGAAGTTGGCAGTTTGCGTTTTATGCTGACCAGTTACATTAAAAAACTTATGGGGTCTGTTATCCTAAATCATAATCATATATCGCCAGTGGGTATTTTGGTAGTCAATGAGCAGTTTGAATTAGCTTTTTTTTTTTATTAGAGTCAGTAGTTAGACTAGTTTTGTTGTTTCTGTCTTTCTCATTCGTCCTAAAGGAGTTAACAACACTTATAACATGTATTACATGTAGCCCAGTCTCTCCCTGGTTTTCACTGAGTATGACAAACACTGATGATAGAGATATGCTCACAATAAATTCCTTTCAACTGGAAGCTTGGCTTATAGTGTGTATCACTGTGCTTCATTTGCCACCATAAATCATCACAATTGTTATGCAAGTAAAGTCATTGAATGACAATCTGCCATTTCCTGTTGTAGTACTGTTGAGGTAGCTTGACAATTTCAAATTACAAGCTGTAACGCCTCGTGGTGGTCAGTGTTGGAAATATATGTAGGCTGGTCTTAATCAAATCCTCAATTGTCAACTTAGAAGTGTTCTTGAGACATTAATGCGTTATTACTCCATTCACTACAGACGGCTTCTTGAAGGAGACTTATGCTACAGTACAGTGTACATGTAACTTCCTTGTTTGACCACATTATTTTGTAAAATGTCTTCAGCCTGAGCAAAATAATAAGTTTGGAAAAGCGTGTGTCCCTAACTGAGAATCATTATTTCCTGTCTGAATTACATTTTGCCTTTGCTAAATCTGAGTTATTTTTATGCTGACTTCGGTGAATGTGCTCATTGCATAATAGGTAGTGCACTGGTCAAAGTTGGAACAACAGAAAAAAAGCTTGGCCAGGCAGAGAGAGATTTAAAGGCCAAGTCTATGACGCACTTTCTCCATCAGCTTAAGACCTTTTTGGAAGGGGATATGAAAACAATATCAGTAAGTAGATGTGATGCAATTTGAATGGCTCTTGAATAAGAATCAAATTTTGTTGGATGTATCCAGTCCTCCTTGCCATTAACAGGAGTTCTTGTCCTGGTTGAAATGAAAGATTGTTCGACAAAGGAAACATCCCCTTCTTATTTCGAGAGTATCAGTTTCCACAAGTTCAATTACCCATTGAAGTAGCTTCACTCCTAGCTGTAAATAATAATAATTGCTTCATCCTGTGGAATGAGATTAGGACTTAAAAATACTATTGCATTCACTTTCAATGACTGTAGTTTCATTCACTAGCTTGTTTACCAGTTAAATTGTTCTACACTAAGGTTGTAAGTTTCTCTCTCTCTCTCTAGAAAGAACGCAGAACTCTCTTGGCTAAAAGATTAGACCTGGATGCATGTAAAACTAAAGTAAGAAAGGCTCAAAGTCCGGAGAAGATCCAACAGGTTAGTATATACAACAGTGATAGTAAGGAGACTGTGACTGGAATTTTGAGCACACCAATATGACCATTCTTTTTTCTGCAGTGTGTTATTTATTCAGTCTATGATGATTTTGACAGATTTTGCTATCCCTGACGAACCATTAAAAACTGATGAATCGTTGATATACATAATGTCTTGAGTTCTTGTCTGAACAGGTCACATTCAAATGCTTGACAAAAGGTCTCTTTCTTCCTGACGATAAAGCAGAAAAGGTGACATTTGTAACCATTCTTTTCGTCACATTTACATGTATTCATGCACATGATTCTTGTTCATGGTTTCTTTATGCACATGATTCTTGTTCATGGTTCCTTTACCTAATGGACTTGGCAAGGTTCTCCTGTAGTGATTTCTGAGTCTTCACCATTTTGTCCTGAATTAAAGTGTATATGACACTAAAAATAATTTCCCCTTTTTGAAAGGCCTTTCAAAATACAGAAGAATGGCGTTTTCCTTTTTGAAATATTGTTTTTCGTTTTAGAGATATTTA